GTGACCGCTGCTATTATCCTTCATGGTTTTCTTGGGTCTGAGTTCTAGTCTCAACTCTGCTAAAATGCTGCATAACCTCAAACAATCATATTAACTCAGCGAATCTCAGTTTATTCGTTCACACAATCAGGATTAAAAACAAGGATGTTGTAAATGAATAAACAAATAGACCTGACAGCGCCTTATTCAAAATTATAACACATACCATAGATGTATGTGTGGTGCCACTATAACCAGGTTACCAAGCTAGAACTGAGATTTCCAATCCTCTTATTTGAGCCTTTACTCTTACTTATCATTTCTGCTTCCCCTATCTATCCTTCATCTAGATCCTCATCTCCATGACCTGGCAGAGTAAACAGCAACATCCCTCTACTCTCTGAACCATCTTCTAGAGACAGTGTCTTCTTGCTGCTCCATACAAAGGCCTGCTACTTGCTTTACCCTTGTGCTCCTCATGGCTTCTTTGTTGGAGTTCTTTTCTCTCTGGCCTAACTTCCAATGACTACAGAAACCTGTAAAATTCCAGTTCAGCCAACGCTCTTCTCGTTTCTTCCCTCGGAGCTTGTCACTGAGGATAATCAGGACAGCAAAGAGTTCTGGCAGCCACATGAAGACTGTTTTTAAGGATGGAGAGAGCAGCTCTGGCAAATGCTGCCAACACCTCAAGGAAGGTAAGACCGTAGCATTGATCACTGGATTGGGCAATGTGGAAGTTGCTGATGATACGGGAGCAGAAGTGTGATTTACGTAGGCTCCAATTGGAGCCAGCAGCCAGAGCGAGGTTAGAGTCAGGCAGGTACAGGCAACTCTTGCAAGGATAATAGCTGGAGATAAATAGAGGAAAGAACATTTGTTAAGTCAGAGACAGAGAAGAGGAAGGGAAGGGATCATTGCAGAAAGAGTAGAGGTAGAGAAGGAACATGTCTGCAGTTATGGCTAAATTAGGTCAGAGCAGATGGGCTGGGCATCGACCCACCCTGGAGGCTGGTCTTGAGGGACACAGATAGCTCAACAACAGTATTTTCAGGGAAGTAAAAATGCCTGTGCACCAAGAAAGTGGGTGGGTGGTTGCTTCAGTTAATTACAAAAGAGGCAAAACTATCTGTTATGAATGAGGTACTAGAATTTGAAAAGGGGGGGGCGCGAAGGCAAGGGTTAGTTACACATAACAGTGGACTAGTTAACAACTGGGAAATCCGATGCGATTGCTGGGCAAAGTTAGTCACCCTCTTCATATCCACAGGCTTGCATCTGAATTGGTATCATCAGTGCATCTTCTCTAGATATCCATAGCTACTCAGGGGACACAAGCAGAATGCCGAGTTTAACCCGCCAGATGCTATCCAGTATAGTTCAAAGAAAGCAAGGAAACTGAGGGTAAACATGAGCTGGAAGGTGAGTGAGTGAGGCTAAAGAAAAAAACTAACAAAAAACCAGAAGGTTCCAAAACTGATGATTGCTGGGTAGAGGGATTTTCAGTATCAGGGTATCGGAATGGAGCTAAAAATAATACTAATAGTCAGTCAGAAAAGTAAACAAAACAGACTATGGAGCATCAAAGGACACGTTCATGGAAATGAGTGGTCTAGGGTATGTGTCTGTATCTGTGTGTGTGCATCCTGTGTCTACAAATAGTTGCCTATTCCACGATCTGAAATAGAAGACACTGAAAAGCAGCAGCAGGGACAGAGAACTTCACCAAGAATCTTTAAAGATGACGGAGTAACCCAGTAGGTGGTGGTGGCAGTTTCCTCTAGCATGACAGGCAGACCTACCCTAACACTGCCCCCAAGGTGTTTGAAATAAGCAAATGGGTTGTGAAGGATCACCGTTTTTATATTCTCAAAATTATGCTTCAATTTTAGCCAAAAATATTAGAAAAGGAGCAGAGAAAGGAAGGACTTGTAGTGATTATAATTGAGTTATCATGATCCAGCTTCATAACTAATTTCAAAACAAGATTTAGGGACCTCTGCGCTTCCCTATATATATTTTTCTGATCATGAGTCTTTCCATAACAATCATTAGCTCTTGTTTACTCTTTGTAATCTGTGAGTACAGAGAAGAGTTCCAGAAGCTGTGTAGAATGAACACGAGGATTGTGTGCAAAATCCATCCACTGTCCAGGGAGGAAGACATCAAAGACACTGTGTGGTGGAGAACCAGGCCAACCCCTTGCTGTATCTTATCGGTCCTATAAAAGATGTTTTTCATTTAAAATTATTGTTTATGTTAACCTATAGTGAGACAACTCTTCTAACTTAAATTTACCAGTTTGCTTTAATTTAGATTATGTTGAACACGAGCATATATTGACTACACAAATACATACCAGTATTTAAGAGAGCATAGAGTCCCAGACACCAAAAACGTAAAGAACCTCTGACTTTGGCCACTTGCTGGAAGATGAAGGCTTCCACAGGGAGAGGCGGCAAGGTCAGTTCCAGAAGGCTGAGGGAGAGGGTTCCACAGGGCAGTCAGATTGTTGGGACATGCAAACAAGGTCATCTCTCAGTAGCCGTGGCTGGGAATGTGTGTAGGAAAAGTTATCAAACCTTCTGCTCCCAGAAGCTTTCTTAGCCTGGAACATCATGAAGAGTATTCATTTTATAAATTGTTCAGAAAAATTGAGCAAGAAATGAGTCTATATTAGGAAATGGTGTATTTTTGCCATCTCCACGAAGTCTAATTGTTACAAAGGCTTTGAAGTTTGTTTTTTATCTTTGATTATGAGCACCATACAAATTACTGTAGACAGTGTAGAGAATTCTGAAAAGTCTTTAAAAAAAAACATGAATTTTGCCAGGCAGCGGTGGTGCACACCTTTAATCCCAGCACTCTGGAGGCAGAGGCAGGCAGATCTCTTTGAGTTCAATGCCAGCCTAGACTACTAAGTGAATTTTGGGACAGCCAGGGTTACACAGAGAAACCCTGTCTCAAAAAATCTAAACCAAACCAAATCAAAACCTAAAAAACAAAGAAAAACCCCATGAATTTTATTTCCCAGAGAGAATGAGTTTGTATATACATTTTCTTTCTATTTTTAACAAAGTTGTTATCATGCTTATTATTAAAATATGTATTACTTTATGTCTGTTGTAGTTATTAACCTCTTTTGATGATTGCTTTCTGGTTTATGTACATGAAATGAAATATTCTATAGAAGTTATACAAATAAATTTAAATTTCTGCAATTGTAGATAAACAGTTGTCTCACATTATCATCTTTTATATTGAATTTTTGAGTATACCCTTCCCAGAATTTTAATTTATTTTACATAAATCACTCCTGAATAAACAAACAAAAAACCTCTACCTCAGCATATGTACATCATTGTTTCAAAAGTGTTAATTTTATTGCTGAAAAATATAATAAAGATATCTTTCTCCAAAATTGCCTGTATTTTTATTAGTCTTGCTGTTTATTAAATTTGTTAAATTTATTGACAATTTAAACAAAATTTATGTTTTCTTTTTTACATATTTAAGTGATGTTAGATTTTGTTTGGAAACTTGCAGGTAAGAAAGATTATAGAAATGAAGATATAATTGAATAGAATTGGTGGAGACAGCAGTATTGAAATGTAAAATAAAAGATAAAACAATATGGAGAAATAAAAATCTTGGTGAGTATAGCTTTGTATACCTGTAAATGGTGTTTTAGTATTAGTAGTTTCACCAATAGGCAGCGATACTGATATATGTTCAATAATCTTTGCAAAAATATCATGGCTTAAAAAAATTCTTTTTCTAAAAAAAACTAGTTTAGCGAGATAAATTGGAAGAAAGATGTATGGTGCCATCCAGTGGTTGTTTGTATAACTGCACCCAGATTGTTCCATGTCGTTTTCATTGGCAAAAATCAAACTTCTTCGACGATTCCAGGAACATAAATCATTCATTAATAAAATATTTCATACCTGTGCCTCCATTAATAATTTAAGAAAAATCTAATTTTAGTTCTGATAAGATGATTGCTAGTTCCTCAGAGATTAAGGTAGCCTGTATAATTTCTGAAGTTAATGTGGAAGAAATTACAGTTCCAGACATTTACATAAACAAGCATGCCAACCTGTCATACTTTTTTTAGTAACACAATGAAACAAAAGAACAATTTGAATAAGAGCACGCTGATTGGAAATTCATATATGGGAGCAGAACCTGCCAGTTATAAGTTCTGAATAAAGAACACAATTGGAGAAACCATGTCTCTAGATTGAGGCACCTTTTTAGGCTTGGCGCTTGCCCTAGGCTGTAGATTTAGTTCCTGGGCTCACTGGAGAATGCCCAGTTGCTCCTAGCCTCCAAGTAGGAGCTACACATGTGACCATCGCCACACTGGCTGTCTCCAAGCTGATTCTCTGCCTGCAAATGTCCCAATCAAGCAAAACAAAGTTGCTATGTTGGTGCAGGAGCAGATCGGTGAAACAACCCTTCCGTTTCAGGGAACAAGCCCGCCCTCTCCATTACAAGCCTGCAGCAGTAGCTCCCTGCTGCGGTTTCCTCCACTCCCACCCCATTAGTCCCCTCCACTGGAATTTTGGGTGTGCCAATGAGATAATGGGGACAATGCATGTCTGACTTGGGTGGAAGCCTAACATTCGGAAGCTTCAGGAGGCTGTGGATGTAAACCCGAGGTTCAGAATAAACAAGGGGGGAGGGACAGAGTCCAAGGAGCCCCGACGGGAGACCCCGAGGTGCCCCACTGTTGCTCTGACCAGCCCATTGAGCTACTTCTTGAATTCTCAATACCGGCCCAAGGAGCCTTCTGCCGAATCATACGTAAACACTTCTCTGTCTTTTGATCCCCAAGTGTGTGAAATACATTATCTGAAGAAACAGATCGTATCTGCGTCACTCAGGGGCTGTGTCACTTCCACATCAGGTCGAAATTCTTTTGTGTGACCTCTCAGTGTACCTCTCTTCCAGAGTTTTCCTTTTTCCCCACTCTCTGTCCCCCACCTCGCTACACCCAGGCAGCAGATGTACTCAGATTCCACTTCGCATGACTTACCCGCCACTTGATCAGGCGATTTTTTGTTCCATAAAATGTTTTCTTTTTTTGTCACTTTTCTTTCCTCGACAGCTGCGTTTTACCCTTCAGACACAAGTTCAAGCCACTTAGATCTCTCAGACTTGGACAGTTTTACTGCAGTCATGCCGTCATTCAGTCCATGTCCCAAACCCTGGTACAGCCTTGCTGACTGCGTCAAAAATGGCCTCTTCACTTGGAAGAGTCCAAGCTGGGATGGACGGACGGATGGTGACTGTCTTCCTGTTGCTTTCTATTGATGGATATGAGGTAAGCACCTACATATATGTCCAAAGAACTAATGAATATATACAGAAAATGCGTCTTTATTAAGTGAGAGCAAGTAAGACTTGAGTGGGCTGTAAAATGTTTCCCGAGAAAAGGCTGTGTCTAATTGACCTCATTTCTCCCTCAGCTGGAATTTGTAAACCCTTCCTTCCTTTCATGAGAGCTGCTGTTTCGGGTTTCAAAATGAGGCTCACACTTCCACTGTGACTCTTAAGTCAAAGCGAAATGCACATGAATCGCTATAAAGATGATCTATATTTTGTGGACATGGGTGGTCCAGACACCCACAAGGAGATAAATAAATGTTTGAGGTGGGTCCCTCGATGATTTTTTTCAATGGATGCCAATTTGGCAAGCTTGACTGGGCCCTACCAGTGTGAGGAACCATGATTTTGGTATGATGTTGGGGAATTTGTGGCTTCCATCTGCTGGTTATCTCACAAAACGGAGAGCTGAGAAAAATCACATACTGATTAAATCATAGAATCCCACACTTGGAAGGGACTTCACGAGATGATCGGGCCCGCCTCCTGAAGGTCAATGCATAAATCATTTTGTGCAGATGGCTGTTTATACTATTTTTAAAGCTCTTTAAGGATGGAGATTACACAGCTTCCCTTGGTAGTCTGATCTTCATGGTCAAGAACTTCCCTTTTTAAAAGCCCAGCTTCTCTCTGCAGTTTGGCTCATTTCCTCTTTTTCTCAGCTCATGTGAATGCAGGGAGTACACGATCATCCTCCCCTGCTAATTATCCCCGGCCCATATCTCACACCCTCGAAGCTAATTATTAAGAGCTGCACTGCTTCCCCTCCTAAGAGACACAGTCACAATTCCTTTACTTTTCAGGAGACTTGTGTCCCCTAACCCATTACTTTTGTCATTTAATTTGTTTCCTTCCTCCTTTTGCTGTACAACCGGCCTGCAGCTCGGTGTATAAGACTGGAAATTGCCCTCCCGTTCCTGTCCTGATCAGATGTCAATGGACAGCAGGGCTTGTTCACCTTGCTGTTTAGACTGCTGCCTTTCTTTTTTGTTCCTCACGTGGATTTTGCTCTGTAATAAATCCCCAGCCGTTTACTGTCGGACTGCTACTTTGTGTGTTTCCTGTGGGTAATCTGTCTTAGTTGTGTTGGCTTTTTTCTCAGAAGCGCACGTCCTGACCTCCAGAAAGTGAATCGGTTCCCCTGGCCTGCCAAACGGATTTTTTTCTTTTTTTGCAATTGTGACTGAAGAGCCTGAGTTGAGGAGATGAGACTGGATTATTCAGGTGAACTCAGTATAGACACAAATGTGAAGATAAATTGCAGGAGGGTCTGGGTCAGAGAGAAAGCATGGAGCAGACGCTGGGGTGACAGGTTTGAAGACCCTGCTGCTACCTTGATTTCAGCCAAGGAAAAAACCAGTTTGGCTGGCTTATTCTTTTTTTTAAATTTTTCCTTTCAGGACTGGGCCTTGGAACTAGGGCTCAATGGCAGCATGTGAGGTGAATGCCCTCCCACTGAGTTTCATCCTCGGGTCTCTTCTTACCATTTTTGAGATAGGGTCTTAAAGTTGCCCTGCCTGGCTTGGAATTCATTCCCAGCTGAGGCTGTTCTTGAATTTATAATCCTCTGCCAAAAGCCTCCCTCTTTAGAGCTGGGATTACAGATTTGTACCACTAGCTTGATTCTAGCTTGTGAGCTGGAGAATTTTAAGGGAATAAACCAGTGTTATTTGAAGGGACAAAGTTGTTGGAAATCTGTCAGAGCCATGGGAAGAAACAGAGTCCATTTATGAATAAACTATCTGTGCTTGCTTTGAACTTAGAAGTTTTACTTTATAGACGTTTGGGGGCCTATGAAGTTTTATTTGTTCTATCTTTTCAAGACACAAAGCCATAGCAGATGCGTATCAGACGACCAATAACCTCACTACTTCTTATGCATTATTTAAGATAGTTCTTCTGATATATTTCAGTTATTAAAAGCGTTCCCTGTAGGGCAATTCCCCATGAACTTGGAGTGACCCATCTGTGCCTCACCCGGGCTGTGAGAGAAGGATTAGAACTGTCACTTTTCTAGGGTTTCAAGACCTCAGGCAGCACAGCCATGTGCTTACTGAGCTGACAGTTGAGCCACTAGGCTGATTTTAAGGCTGTTCCCTCTCTCCTGGACCTCCTGACCTGCTATGCCACCGGGATCTGTGTCTCTAGACGGAGTGCAAAATCTTGAAGTATTTGAAGCATCAAACACTGTCAAGGGAGATGTGTTACTATGAATGTGACTTTCTCGGGGTGGGGTAGAATGCCAGTTTCCTAGAAATGCCTTGTATTTGTTCCATATGTCAGATGAAAACGTTTCAAACATCAAGAAATAAAATTACAATTGTTCAAAAACTGAGAGGGATCACTCAAAAACATCTTGTGAGCAGGGAGAAGCCAGCATTCTCTGTCTTGGCAGGAGCCTGTGATTTCCCTGGGGGAAATCACTTCAGAGGAGAAAGGATTCTAAATTAGTTTTCAACAGAGCATGGCTTGAACTCTGCTTCTGCCCTGTGGAAGTTTCTGTCATTGGGTTACTCTTAAGTAGGACTTTATTACCTGTGCAGTTTGACATGTGAGGCAGGGAGGGACACAGCTTCATTTCTGTGCTAGTCTTACCTCTCCACTCTCTCTGTTGGAAAGAGAAGAGCACAGTTTTATTTTTAATGTTACCTTTCTCCACTCTCCCCTTTTATGAGGACTATCAAAGCTACAGGACACATCAGTTTGTCTTCCTCTCATCTTAAACCACTCATAACAAATTTAGCCAAGAAATACCTGCTGGCTCTGCTAATTTGCCACTTTCCTGTTTTAAAATCTAACCAATTAGCTTGATTTTTCTGTCATTGCTCACATATAGTTTAAAGATCCATCCATCTCCCCCATCAGACCATGCTCCTACATCCCTCTTACATATACACTTTATGGGGCCTTCACCACTTTTCTTCCTGGCTAATCATTAAAGAGCATAGTGGTATGCAATTGTTCTTTGTTTCTCACTGTCCCTGACTCCTTCTCTCTCTCTCTCTCTCTCTCTCTCTCTCTCTCTCTCTCTCTCTCTCTCTCTCTCTCTCTCTCGTTTGTTTTTTTGAGACAGGGTTTCTCTGTGTAGCTTTGGAGGCTGTCCTGGAACTAGCTCTTGTAGACCAGGCTCGGACTCAGACTCACAGAAATCTGCCTGCTTCTGTCTCCAGAGTGCTGGCATTAAAGGCATGCTCCACCACCATCCGGCTCTCGTCTCTTCTTAGTCCATCAAAATACATTGTGCTTGACGATTTCTTCAAGACCCAATAGAACCTGACACACACACAGACACCCTTAAGTTCTTGTTGGATAGGAGTAGAAGATCAGCTTGGTATAATTTCTTTCCTATATTCAAACCAAATCCACCGCTTCCTCAGTCATAAACACTGCTCCTCGTTAAGTATTCACTTTTCAGAGCATGGCACCATTTAGATGCTGAGCCAGAAACCCAAGATTCCACTACCTTGTGGTACCCACAGCATCTCCTTAGCACTGTCCCTGCTGCTTCTGATCTCATCACTTTTGCTGCCTCAGTCATCATTTCTCAAGTCATCATTTTTCAACTGAGTTATTAAGCTGCCTTCCAAACTAATGCTTGTCTTGAGTTTTAGAATTAACCTTTAATATTTTCCAGGTTAAAAAAGAAAGAAAGGAAGGAAGGAAGGAAGGAAGGAAGGAAGGAAGGAAGGAAGGAAGAGTTTTAGAAGAAAGGATGGTGGACTTCTTGGGTGAAAAGGATTCAAATGTCTGTGGCCTAAGCAGAAGGCATCTAAGAGACGAAAAGATGGTAAGAGAAGCTGCGACGGGCTGAAGAGATGAGCTAGAATATTGACTCAGTGACGGCTCCGGTGTGCTCCTGCCTCCCACACTGCTACAGCATAATTGAATAAAGAGGGGTGAGATGCAGTCTGTGGAAGCACACATAGTGCTGTAGGACCATTTATGCTGATGGGAGGAGCTGAGGCAGCAAAATTTTTACCTGAATAGCCAGGCGTGGCTGTAAAATCCTTCGATTATTATCTGTATCACTTGGCTATCTTGTACATTTTACTATAAACTAGGGACATAGCAACCTTCCAGCCTCCCTCCCTCCCTCCCTCCCTCCCTCCCTCCCTCCTTTCCTCCCTCCCTTCGTGTTTTCTTTGCTTTAAAGCTTACTACGATACATTTTAAAACATTCAAATAGTCATGAAATGCTTCATATTCCCATTGGTTGTTTATAGCAGGCCCCACTTTCTAACCACACCTCTTGCCTTTGATGTCATCATGTTTTGCCAATCTCCTTTGAGTGAGTGGCATTGTTTTTAAATGTGCATTGGTCTGATTTCTAGTGACTAGTGATTTCATTTTCATGTTTTATAGGTTCTTTGCTAACTGTCTTTCATAATTTTCTATTAAATATCTTTCCTTTTGTGATTAGCATAAAGAGATGTCATATCTTTTATCTTAAATGTAACATGAAGTCCCTGAAGTTAGTAGAATTAGGATTAACAGTTTCTGACACATTATCATTTTCTGACTGACACCGACTCTGCCCAATCTTAAATATGTAACTTTTCATTATTTATAATTATAGTGTTTTTACTAGCAGAGTAGAGATATCCTCCAGTTGTAGAATAAATTGACTTATTCCCATAATGCAATAATATATACCTATGAAAAAGACCCATTTAGATATGTAAGAATCACAGTGAATAAATATTTAAAATGTGGCATAAATTTTAAAACATTAAATGTTTCCAAAAGGTTGTTAAAGCAGGATACTCCACTCAGGGTATAGATCACTTGTCAATAACTTGCCTACCTTTCCTGAGTCCCTGGGTTTTATAACCACCATAGCAGAATAAATTAGCTAAAATTAGTACAATTTAGGTAAACTTTCAATACATGCTATTTTGTATGTTATTTGGGTTATATTACATAAAGGTGGCTTAAGCA